GAGCTGATCGAATCGTTCATGCGCGAGGTATTCGCGGACGGTGTGACGGAGCTGCAGCCGTGGACGATGGGCGAGGTGTCGCACAACCGCGAGTTACGGCGCATCTTGTCCCGCGGCGCCGAGCCCCTCTCCCCGCTGCCTCTACACGACCTCTCGAAGCACTCTCAGCCAGGTAAACCACTACAGACTGCATAGACTTGGCTCTTATGTCAGTTTTACCCTCGTGTGTAACTAGCATAAGTGATTATTTTCAGCCATGGCTATAATTTGAATAAGACAACAAGTACCGTTTTATATCAAAACATCTAATGTCTTATCTAGAGTTAATAGAAACAGCATTAGGAGCACAATATTTAACATTTATTTGGTGTAAGGTCGTGTGAAAGTGTACCGCTCAATGCCGTCATCGGCAGCGACGTGACGCAGCGACGACAGACACGATCAACTACACTCACGTTTATGTACGCCTAGTACCTCAGATCCAATAATAGTGCAATTAATGAATATGTATTTCGTTGAGGAAAATCTTAAAAATTCATAATTTGGGTTGAAATTGGTTTGTAGTTTCGGAATTTAGAAGTTAGGCAATAACGCAGATTGCGTAATTTTATTATTTTATTCTCACTGTATTTGATAATTAAAATTTGTGATGCCATTTACATTTATTAACAACAATTATTTGATTTTGAAGTCTACAAAATAATACATTCATATACTATTAAGAAATAACACTAAAGAGTAATTAATCAATTTTACTTAACTAAGATATTGATTGCGCTCGGCCTTCCGATATCAAATATCAATAATAGTATTTTAATAGGAAGTTTTTTGTGATTTTACGAAAATTTCCATTCTAAATATTCTTGTTACTTGTACAAAAGGTCATGTAAATAAACATTCAAAAATAAATACATCTTTAATGTTATTTTATGTTATACTAATGGCCGAATACTAAAACGAAATTTAAATATGTAAAAGCGTCTTAAATGATAAGACGAATAAATTCTATTAAAACGTTGATATCTCAGATTGTAAGTGGCGAAGTGTTAGGAGATTCGTTCCAGTATACGGCAATGGTAATGCGGTACCGCACATATAATTTATTTTTTTTGAATTAAAGAGGCTTCTCATGTTCATGCTATTAGTCTTTGTTTTGGCAAACATTCAAGGCATTGTAAGCAATGAGCGTTGTTTTGTCGCAAGCTCGGTTTTGTTTGTAGGTCAAATGTGTGCCATTTGTGTAGAAACGCTCTCATTTGTCACCGAAAATTAGACCTTTTTAGTGTAACTTTTACTAAGTATAATAAATTATCTACGACAAAGATTTGTAGATCTTGTCACCTCTAATCTTAGTTCTCAAAATCAAAATCGATTACGCGTTCTCTCTACACTCTAAAAACAATGACACTAAATAATTTACCTAAGTAATCGTTTAATTAACCTCAATTTTATAGCATCGTATGTATTAATTGGTGGTTACGAAATATCTCATAAGCGGAACAAAAACCGACGAGTTTTTTGCACTCAAGAAATCACATATAAACGAGGATTTATAATCAAACGTAAAAAAAAATTAAAAAGTATTCTTTGGTCAAAGTTATTTTATGGTTTGTTTACGACTTCTACGAGGTATTAAAAAAAACTATCAATAAATATGGACTTTCACCCACTGGTAAAGCACTATTCTAATGTTGAAAAAAATTTCTGATGTCAGCCCAGTAGTTTTATAGTTCCCATACATTAAAACAAATCTTTACTCTTTAAGTTATAAGGTAAAGATTAGTGGAAAATTATAAATTACGGAACTGAATTATTTTAATTGCGGGTTTCAATTTATTTAGTTTAATACGCCAGAGAGAAAACATTATGTCTATCATAGTATCTATAGTGTTATTATATCCGACACGTGCTGTGCAGTAAGAATCGACAGGAAAATGTTAGTACCTTAGGATATCTGCATTGGCCTCCTGCCAGTCGCCTCCCCTTGTACTGCCCACGGATCTTGAACGTTGCAGACTTTTGCTATTGCATACAAACGCAACTGTATTTTAGAACTTGTAATATTATTTTTAACGCGTCAAGAATCTTTTACATAGTTTCTTTATTAAAAACTTGATTATTGAACGTTTAAAAAATTACTAAATACTGTAGTAGATTTTTAAAATTCTTGGTTTAGAAACCCTTTTATCTAGTGAAATTAATTCAAATACATGCTACAATATCACAGAGATCTGTACAGTTTTGTTTGATAAACGATGTCCTAATGTCCTTCAAATGTAAGAGTATTCCCAGAGATATGTCCGATAAATGATTGCAAATGTTCGCATAAGTGGCTCTGTTCCCACTGGGGCCGGTCGCGTTAATATCGAGAGACAAGGTCGCGCCCTCATCGACCGTCGCTCCCCCGGGCTCTGCGCTCCAGTAACACTTTAACTGAATTTATTTCTGCGACCTTAAAATAGGGAAGTTACACGCTGTAATAAGAACCTTATGTTATAGTCCATGTAAAAACTGAAATTTCTTTTCTAAGTATTTATTTCAATCTTTCCTCTCTGCTCAAAACAGACATGAAGGAAGTTTGAGAGCTGATACCCAATAAAGTTATTATTAATATTACTTAAAAAGATACGACCGACCGCAATCCGCAATGCGTCTGTTCATTTCTGCAACAGATTTTATTTTAATTTGTGAAGAACACTCAATGCTTTAAAATAAAGCAAATACATAATACTGTCGAGAATTTCCTTGACAATATCCGTGCGAAATGTTTTTTCATTTGCTTTCGCAAATAATGCTTATTATCTAAAATACAATTTAACCAGCGTACTCGTTTATTTCTGGGCCATAACATGAGGATAATTTTCAATATTAAATGCGTACACGAGTGGTGTATGCATATTTGATGGTCGGGGAGGACCCGCGCCGCGGCCGCGAGGTCGCTCCCAGCAATGCCGGTGTGTGGTTGAGCGTTTAAATTATTACTTGTCGTAACAGCTGACAGGTTTTCTGTCTTTAAAAATAATATGTGACACATTCAGAAGGCTCTGTGCTATTTTTTTAAACTATTATAAAAAATAGGGATAAAAACATGAAACATTTCATATCTTACACTTCGGTATCCCACTTAGAATTAATTCTAAACCCAAGCCAGTCCTATTTCCTTGTTCCTTCCTACTTAACCACCACCTCTCCTTCCTCAGGCACATCGCGCCTTCTAGAAGAGAGCGTGAGCAAGTTATCAGTTAAAAGATCAGGGAGAAGTCTAAGATCGAGAAGCAAATCGGCAACGAAACTGGGCAAAGATCCCGTTCACGACATGTCAAACTACCGCTTAAGGTCGAAGTCGTCGAGCCATAAAACGTTCGATCAATCGAACGAGGGCAACGAGATCGAACTGGATAGAAGGGAAGAATCGAAAGCATCGTCAATGCGGCTGCGGTTTATGCCTGAAAAAATTTCTACGTCTAAAGTGAAATCGTTACTGTCCCTGGACTCGGGCCATGGGATGGAGACTAAGCGGGTGACGCTCACCGAGCCGTACTTGTCACCCCCGGAGTCGGAGATGTCATTCAAACTGAGAGAGTTAAAGTCGTGCCACTGCGAGCTCGGCACGCGCGCGGCGCTCGGACAGTTCTTGTACCACAACTGCCTGGCCGCGCTGGCGGTCTTCCTCGTTGTTCTCATCCTGCTGCTCTCGCTGCCCATGTCCCTCACCTACAGGGACACGCCCGCACACGATAGTTAAGTCTAATTTATTCTAAATATATGCATATGCAACAGTTTTATTTTTATTTTTTTTATAATATGCGACGCCTCGTAACTACTTAATGTCATGTTACTTTTAGGTGCACTTGCAAGGGCGCTTCGATACAATTAGAGATAATTACGACATAGAAGTCCATGGATTAACTTTCGTGACGTAATAGGTCAAAACAGATCTTAAGCTAAAATAACATCTAGGTCTTCCTGTTCTGTAAATGTTAATATCGTGCGTAGGTGTTCTGGCCATGCAACGCCCACGCCGTGACGTCACGCTTTTACGTCACACCGTGTTACATTTACAGCGAAAGGACAATATGTAAGCGGATACTATTATGAAGTAAATAAATCAACTTCAAGATTTAAAATGGTACGGGACAAGATTGTCTGATGAAACGAAACACTGCTCTCACTAAGTTTTCATATTTACATAGCTACAAAAATACGGACATAATCGTATTAAGGAAGCAAAAACGAACAAACATGGCAGTAACCCCGTTCCGGACCTAGCCTTGACCTGGACACGTTTAGTTGCGCTTGTATTTTGTTTTTACATTGTTCCCGAGAAACTAGCGACATAACGCCTCGCAGGCTCACTTTGCATATTCAGAATAGCATCCACTTCAATATCCATCTCAGTTACAAACGGCACAAGGTTTAATATTGTCTGACGTTTTCAGGTGTCTGGAACATATTGCGTCTTTTGTTATCTGAATTCCTTTAAAAGCTATTTGGAGGTAAAGTGTAGAGTGTCGGCACTGGCACATATAAACTAACAATGGCAAAGATTATTGTATTATAGCTATAGAGTACCTATTTTACTCTTAAATAAAACTTATTAGGAAAGTAAAATTTACTCCATTCAAGGGCGGATCCAGCTTTGGCGCCAGGGAGGGTCACATAGTCGTGGTCAAGTCAAGAGCTTAACAAAATATGTAAATATATTTTGTAAAGCTCTTGGCCAACCAGTTCAGGGGGGGGGGAGGTCGACTCCCATGACCCCCCCTCCCCCTGGAATCGGCGTTGACTCCATTGCCTAACATGTACAAAGTACAGTGGTTATTACTAATTGCCCAAAACTGTTCGCAATTAATGATGGATTTTCCAATTAGCTCTCCTAATTAAAGGTTCGGGAACTACAAAAAAAAAATTACACCTTCGGTATACTTACCTAATTCAGTAAAAGTACTTTGTTAATATTCGTAAATGTAAACTTATTTTAAAAATAAACAATGATTTCTGTTTCCATTTTGTATTCCACGAACGTACAAATGTTTAATTGGCTATAGCAAAGGTCGGTAGAACAACAGGAAAAGGTCGGGCGTTACGTAGGGTTGGTTCGTGTCCACAATCGCATGAATTATTTTCTGTTATTCAGAAGTTAAACAAATATCTAAATATACAGGCATAAAGCTTGTTTGTTCAACCCTATGCCTAATAAATTCCCCTAGTATTTTAATCGGTTGTCATTATCGATTATTTTTATTGTTTTAAGTATAACCCAAATTTAATTTATAATAAATCGTGCGTAATAATTTATAAGATAAATGTGTGCATATTGATTGTGCGTTTTATTTTTATGCAATATATTTAAAACAAGAAAGTGAATACAATTCTTCATAGATATTACCGATCTGCGATTATTAAGGCAATTTCCAGTCCCGATTCTTCAGTTCTGAAAAGCGAAAAGTGCTCGTTAATATAAAAGGTTTTAATTAATATCTAAAGTATAAAAGTTTAGTTGTACTCGCGACTTCGTCTGCGTGAATTTAAAGAATAATAAAAAGATAGCCTATGTTACTGATAACGTACCGTTACAATGGTTAAAGAATTTTTGAAATTGTTTCAGTAGTTTTTGGGTTATTTCAATACATACAAAAATACAAATCTTTCCTCTTTGTAATTAATATATGTAGATGAACACATATAGATTAAGACCGTCTATGTCTTGAGTTGTACTTACGCGTGTAAATTACATTGTGTTTTAACCTGTTTTTACACGTGTCCTCTATGTTTGAATAACATTAATGAAACCACTGTATTATGAGCATTTAATGTTACAAATTATTCAAAGTTTTTCAGTATTTTATATTAGATTAAATAAATACTTAGATATTGCAGTAAAACTGATCCTTATTCTGGAATCAAATTGTCGTATCGTTAATTCTTCCTGAAGATATTTCAATTTATTGTCAACAAACTAAATAAACTGACAGATGTAAATGTCATTTGTCAAACTTATATTTGTTTTGTTTTTTTTTAATACGTCTCTAAGTTAATGAATATCTTAAAGTTTATAGTTGTTCGTTCACTATGATAATCGATCGTCAGTTAAGGCATCCATTGTGCAGTAGCTATATGTGTACTCGTATCGCTTACAGACCAGTACACACTGGACAGTGAGTACATAAAACGGTACTTGGGAGAGCTGACGCCCATGCAGGAGTCCCGCCTTCTGCAGCTGCGGAAATGGATCGCAGATCTACAGAAAGGAAAGGTAAGCATATTATAACGTCGTTGCCGAGGAAATATATTTCATACCCCCATTTATTTGATAATCACAATAATATAAGTTGGGAAGTAGTGGGAAGCGTATTAAATCCTTTAATTATACATGTTGTCTCAGAAACTATATTGTCAAAGAAGTAATTATTGCTCGAAGCAGGCAGGTTATAAAAAATATACGCGGTCAAAACAACTAAAGCAAGTTTAATGAAAACTAAATTAAAACTTTAAATTATTTTGCTACAACATAAATTATTACTCGACACATTTCACACAACAATTTATGTTTGGAACAACTAATTGAAAAGTTTCCGAAACGTAAAGCATTTATTCCCGTTTTCCTTTTATGTCCCTGCCTCCGGGCTCAAACAGTTTGATACAAATGAACTATCGTTTTAGCGATATCCAAATAATTTTCTTAAACGCCATGTTAGATTAAATCCAAAACAAACATATCAGGTTTTTACTGATAAGATATGTTTTGTTAAACAAAACAATGCCTAGATTCGTCACTGACGTGTGTTGACTGTGTATATCTGTCAAAAAAACCCACCTGCAGCAAAACAGGATGATAAAACACTCTTATAAACATTACCTTCAATGTAATCATAAACCTTGTACATTAAAGACAAATCGATTGAGATAGAACTCACCGGGGTCGCATCAAGGACCCGGGATTCTGGCCGGGCCGGCGCGACCTTGTTCACAGCTTTTATTTCATAATTTAATAATATCCGCTCTCAAAATAGATTTGTTGCTGAGTACACTTTTATTAGAAGTTTATCTCTTCTGTGTATAAGCAATTAAACTAAGGATGTTTTTGATATGACATTTATTTAGCTGTTTGTAAAATTAACGCTTTGAGAAAAAAATGGTCTTGCTATGTTCATCTTATTGCAACATCGTCGTGTTTTCAGTTCTTCAGACGTCAAGGTAGTTAGTTTTTTTTTTTAACAATTGTTTTATGGTTAGGTACCAAGCGACACAACGTTGCTTAGGTTTCTCCGCGCTCGTGACTTCAGTGTGGAAAAAGCTCGGGAGATGCTGTCGCAGTCTCTGCTGTGGCGTAAGAAGCATCAAGTGGATAGACTCCTGTCAGAGTATGAGACACCGGACGTCGTCAAACAGTACTTCCCTGGCGGTTGGCATCATCACGATAAAGGTACCTCATACAGAAAATAAAACTGGTATAATTGGTAGAGTTCATTTGAGACGCTTTTTTATAGATTATTTCCAACCGTCACCCTGCTCTGTCCCCACATGAGAATAAAAAGTTTCATCCGTTTCCAATGTTAGTCGCACCATGACCAATAAGGTGACAGGGGGAACCGTTATAAAATAAAATAAATTAAATTATAACCGTCATCTCATCGCAAAAGGTGGGACTGATGACACTTTTTATTCTTATCTGTCTCCACATGGGGACAGAGCGGGGTGACAGTTGGGAATAATCCTTTTTATTAGTCTTGTCAAAAAATAACACTCAGTTGATATTCTAAAAAATATTTTTTATTAATTCATTTAGATGGTCGGCCGCTGTATGTGCTGCGTTTAGGTCAGATGGACGTCAAGGGTCTACTCAAGTCCATTGGCGAGGATGGATTGTTGAAATTGGTAAGTTGTTAAATTTAGAAAAGATGGATTAAAATTATTACACATGTATGTAGAGGCAAAATTAGGAATGTTCCTAACCGTCACCCCGCTTTGTCCCCACATGGGAACAGATAGGAATAAAAAGTTTCATCCGTCCCACCTTTAATCCTACTATCACCAATACGGTGACTGATGGAACTGTTAAGAAGTAAAATAAGTTATTACCATCACCTCGTCGCAAAAGGTGGTACGGATGAAACTTTTTAATCTCATCTGTTCCCATGTGGGGACAGAGCGGGGTGACGGTTGGGAGTAATCCCAAAATTAGCGGTTATGTAACGTCTATATAGTTACTTAACAATTCCAAAGTTTAAAGTCGTAAACCCTAAAATGCTTCAAGTTATCTTTATCTAGGTCTTCATTTATCTAAGTACGGTCCGTACATAAAGTTTGTGATGCGGTACACTTGAATTTTCATGAAGTTACTGAAATACTTTATCTTAAAGACGGTGACGTTTATACAACTTTCTCTTGACTCGAAATATATTTTACACACTGAATTTGAAAAATTATACTTCGTTGTATCAACCTTCGATAAAAAGGGATTTCTCCCATCTATACTTATATTATAAAAAAGGAAGGATTTGTATTTTTGTATATATTAACTCAAAAACTAATGGCCCGTCTTTGAAAATACTTTCATCATAAAAAGGCTATGTTCTCAGTGAGTATCACAGGCTATGCAGATACATATGTTTTTTGCTGTTTTTTCTAATTTGACAAATGTTAGGATTGAATGTGGATGGCTACAAAGGTAGAGGAAGACCGAAGAAAGTGTGAAAGGATTGGTTGAAAGAGGATATGTTTAAGAAAGGAGTGGATTCAGATATGATGGTTGATAGAGATGTAGGGAAGAGCAGCATATACTGTGCCGACCCTCCATAAGGGATAAGGGCAAGTGGATGATGACTGTTTCTTCTAATTTGAATTGGAGGAAGTTGCCCAATTCGGCGTCACATGCATATTGCTTATCATAGTTAAGTAATTGTGCAGACGCTGCACGTGTGCGAGGAGGGCCTGCGGCAGCTGGAGGAGGCGACGCGCGGCGGGGCGCGCGCGGTGCGGGCTTGGTGCCTGCTGGTGGACCTGGACGGGCTGAACATGCGCCACCTGTGGCGGCCCGGCGTGCGCGCGCTGCTGCGCGTCATACAGGTCGTGGAGGCCAACTACCCCGAGACCATGGGCCGCGTGCTCATCGTGCGCGCGCCCCGCGTCTTCCCCATACTCTGGACTATCGTCAGCACGTTCATCGGTGAGGGAACCATACAAAAACACTACAAAAACACCTTAAGACAAAGTAACATCGACAAGTCAAAAATATATAGAACTGACAATAATTTATCTATACTGATATTACAAAAAAAAAATTGTATTTTTGTATGTATTGAAATAACTCAAAAACTATTGAACCGATTTTAAAAAATAATTTACTGTTAAAAAGGTAATTTTTCTGTATGTAACATATTTTTTTAAGTCACGCGGGCGAAGTGACAAGCAACAGCTAGTATAACTATACATTTTGTCGATTCAACTTCATTTTATCTAGAAAGGCAGATTTTTCATAGATAAAGGGATTTTTGTAATGATTGATTTAAGTGATTACTTAAAATGTGGGTTTTATTGCAGACGAGAACACCCGCAGCAAGTTCTTGTTCTACGGCGGCAAGGACTACCTGCAGGCGGGCGGGCTGCTCGACTACATCCCCAAGGAACTCATCCCCGACTTCCTCGGCGGGCCCTGCAAGGTAACTGCACATTAAACACTTATATTTACGATACTACTACTTTATTTTTGTATTTATCACAAAATTTCTTTAATATATTTCAGTAAACACTTCAGTGATTATAAAATGCATCGTGTATGAACAATTAAAACATTTACTTATTCAAGTTGACGTGGAAACAAATAAAACTACTAGTTACAGGTTACTTTGTGATTTGCTATAATAGTTTTAATATTGAACTACGGTTTAAAACATCAATATAAATGTGGGCGTGAACAGACGCAGTTTGCGTCGGGGTGGTGGTGGCGCGTGCCGCAGCGCTACTACTGGACAGTACGTGAGCCACGTCCACTAGTGTCCACTGATGTCCACTGGTGTCCACTGATGTCCACTGGTGTCCACTAGTGGACATTAATGGACATAATAGCTGAGAGCTTGTGTCAATTTGTCTCAATGTGTCGTACTGTGATGTCTACACAGACCAAATGCTACATCGTCGCAATTCTCGCAATTATAAATAGTTACTTGTTTACATTTATACTGAAATATTCACGAAGTGTCTCGTCTGTGGCCAGCTAAAGTTATAAACACCGAAATATATGTTCATACCTCACTCTAACAATTTACTGTGATGTAAGTAGATTTAGAAAGCTATGTCACAATAATATAATTCGTACCAATTAAATCACATTTTTATTTGTTAAAAATAAATTTTAGTAAAAATATCACTTTTATTACTTCTCTGTAACACTTAAGGGATAACACAAAAGCACTTTCGAGGTAATATTTATGTTCTTGTAAACAACATGAACACTAAACTAAGGACGCAAATAGGAATCAGTTAAAATCTTACACTACCAAGTACGTTAGAAAGAGATAGGTATAGTAGATGATGTTATCGTGGACATGTGTGTGAAAGGGATAGTTATATGTTGTCCTGCATGCAGAGTTTCGTGCACGAGGGCGGGCTGGTGCCGAAGTCGCTGTACGTGTCGGGCGCGTTCACGGAGCGCGACGGTGACCCGCTCAGCGAGGACAGCATTTACCAGTCTGTCAGCCTCGCTAAGGGACAGGTACGTTGATATACAGTAAAAGGGGGTGTATCCTCCGTCTCGAATTTTTCACTTTGTTTATTGGTTAACCCCCTCTTCATTCTTAATTTTTCTTTTTAGCTTACGTTTTAGTTGTTTTTACATTTAATTGTGTGTCAGGTGCACGAGGTGGTGGTCCGCAACTGCGACCCGCACAGCGTGCTGACGTGGGACTTCGACGTGCTGCGCCACGACATCGCCTTCACCGTGTTCCGCACCGCGCACGACCTGCCCGCCGCGCCCGCCGCGGACCACAGCGCCACAGGTCGCACCACCCCCCACACCCCTACATACAACTGCACAACTACTGAGAGTACCAATGTTATGTACATTCTATAGTAACTGTTACATTTGTTACAGAATTATCAGACTCAAATTACGTATAAATTTCCAAA